CATTGAATGTAAATGATCTAAACACCGTAATTAAAAGGCAGAGATTATTTTTACTTGTTTATTTTTAATTTTAATTTTTTTTTTAGAGATAGGGGCTCACTCTGTCACCCAGGTGGAGTGTAGTGGCATGATCACTATAACCTTGAACTTCCAGGCTCAAGCCTCAATCCTCCTGCCTTAGCCTCCTGAATAGCTAGGACTACAGGCACACACCACCACGCCCAGCTAATTTTTCTACTTTTTGTAGAGATGGGGGTCTCGCTATGTTACCTAGCCTGGTCTCAAACTCCTAACCTCAAGCGATCCTCCTGCCTTGGCCTCCCAAAGTGCTGGGATTACAAGTGTGAGTCACTGCACCTGGCCCATTTATTTATTTATGTATTTATTTTTGAGACAGGGTCTCATTATGTTGCCCAAGCTAGTCTTGAACTCCTGGGCTCAAGTGATCCTATTACCTCAGCTTCCCAAGTAGCTGAGATTACAGGTGCCCACCACTGCACCCAGCAAGAAATACAGCTTAAATATAAAGACATGAATAGGTTAAAAACACAAGGCTAGAAAGAGATATACCCTGTTAATGCTTCAAAAGGAACTTGGAATGGCTATTTCAATAAAAATAGATTTCAGAGCAAAGAACATTATGAAATGATTTTCTTTATCCCTGGTAATGATAAAGGAGTTAAATCATGAAGGGAATATAACAATCCTACATATTAATGCACCTAATAACATAGCTTCAAAATACCTGAAGCAAAATGTTATAGAACTGCAAGGGTAACAGACAAGTGTCAATTATAGTTGGAGATGGTCAACGCCCCCTTTCAATAATCGATAGGTCAGATGGAAAATCAGTAAGAATACAGACAACTTGAACAACACTATCAACCATCTTGATCTAATTGACATTTACAGAACACTCCACCCAACAACAGAACTACTCACGCATATTCTTGAAAAGTTTTCAAGTGCACACAGAACTTCACCAAGATAGACCATATTCTGGGCCATAAAAAAGTCTCAATGAAATTGGTAGAAGTCAGGTCATAGAAAATGTATTTTCTGACCACAAAGGAATTAAAATAGAGTCAATAACAGAAAGATATCTGGAAAATCCCCAAATATTTAGAAACTAAATAACACCTCTAAATAGTCCACGAGTGAGCTTTTAAATAGTGCATCTCAAGAAATCAAAGGGAAATTAGAAAGTACTTTGAAGTGAATGAAAATTACAACAATGTATCAAAATCCACAGGATGCAGCTAAAGTAGTACTTAAGGAGAAACTTATAGCACCTAAACACCTACATCAGAAAGTAGGAAAGGTCTCAAATCAATGACAGTAGCTTCTTAAGAATTAGAAAAAGAAGTGCAAGTTAAACCCGAAGTAAGCAGAAGTCAATGAAAAACAATAAAGAAAAATCAATGAAACCAAAAGCTCATTACTTATTGAAGAGAGCAATAAAACTAATAAACCTTTAGTCAAACTGCTCAGGGGAAAAAAAGGGAGAAGACACAAATGACCAGTATCAGGAATGAAAGAGACAATTTCACTACAGACTCTAGAGATCTTAAAGGGATAAGGGACTATTATAATTAAATTTATGCCAATAAATTCAACAATTTAGATAAAACAGACAAATTTCTTAAAAGATACAGGCTACCAAAGCTCATTCAAAAAACAGAAAATTTCAATTTCCCTACATCTATTAAAGAAATCAATGTTGGCCTGGTGCGGTAGCTCATGCCTGTAATCCTAGCATTCTCGGAGGCTGAGGTGGGAGGATCGCTTGAGGTCAGGAGTTCAAAACCAGCCTGAGCAAGCATCAGACCCTGTCTCTACCAAAAATAGAAAAAAAGATTAGCAGGATGTGGTGTCATGCTCCTGTAGTCCCAGCTACTTGGGAGGCTGAGGCAAGAGGATCGCTGAGCTCAGGAGTTTGAGGCTGCAGTGAGCTATGATGATGCCACTGCACTCTAGCCTGGGCAACAGAGCGAGAATCTGTCTCAAAAATAACATAACATAACATAAAATAAAATAAATGGAAATCAGTGTTGTCAAAATCTTCCCACAGAGAAAACCACAGGCCTGGAAGCTTCACTGGTGAATTCTATGAACATTTAAGGAAGTCATAATACTAATTCTACACAAACATTTTTTTCCAACTCCCTCTATAAGGCCAGTATTACCCTGATAGCAAAACTAGAGACATTATAAGAAAAATACAGGCTAATATCCCTCATGGAAATTGATGTAAAAATTTTAAACAACATTGTAGTAAACTGAATCCAACAATATATGAAAAGGATAATTAATACATCAGAACTAAGTAGGGTTTATGCCTGGGGGTAGGGGGCAGGGTTGGCTTAATATTTGAAAGTCAATGTAATCAGCATATATTAATACCAAACTGAAAAACAAAAACCATACAATTGTCTCAATAGATACAGAAGCAGCATTTGACAAAATAGAACATCTATTCCTTATTCTTAGCTAAATTCCACATATATGTGTATATATATATTTTTACATATATATATATTTTTTGGGGGGGGGACAGGGTCTCGCTCTGTCATCCAGGCTAGAATACAGTGGTGTCATCATAGCTTACTACAATCTCAAACTCCTCAGCTCAAGCGATCCTCCTGCCTCAGCCTTCTGAGTAGCTGGAACTATAGGCGTGTGCCACCACACTGGTTAATTTTTTATTTTTTGTAGAGACGGGGTCTCACTATGTTGCTCAGCTTGGTCTCGAACTCTTAGCCTCAAGAAATTCTCCCACCTCAGCCTCCCAAAGTGCTGGGATTACAGGCATGAGCCACTGTGCCTGGCACACAAATATACTTTTTGAAGGCATAGCTCCTCTCCTGCAATTTGGCTTCTATTCTACCCTTCTAATAAATCTACCTTTACTATATTCACCAGGGTCTATTTCTGAGATATAGTATAGCATGGCCATTGAAAGTATGGACTCTGGAGCTAGACTACTTGGGTTCAAATCCCAGCTCTACCCATTACTAGGAATATGACCTTGAGCAGTTTTAATTTCTCCATGCCTCATTATTCCCAAATAGTAAAAGGACTTACTTCCCTTACAGGGCACTGTGAGGATTAAATGAGTTTGTGTGTATGTAAAGCACTTAGGACAGCATTTGATATAATAAGAACTACATAAGTAAGTGTTAGCTATTATTATTACCTCTGAAAAATACCTAGTTCTTAGTCTCTGGTAGTTTTCAGATGGTCACTTAGTCCACGTTGAGAAGCATGCAGCAAGTTAAACTGAATCTCTTTGAGAGAGCAGTATACGGCGGTGAAGTAACAGCAGAGCCTGGCATTTGAATCCTGGCTCCACCATTTACCAGCAAGGAGACCCCGGAACTATACTTAGCCTTTCTGGACCTTTCTTATCTTTAAGATTATAAAATCGTTAAGATAGTTGTGAGGACTGAGTAACAGATAACACTTTTCTTTCCTCAGTCTCCTACCAGGGCCACACCTGTTTTATCGGAATGCCTTCCAATCAGACTGCTCCCAGGCCCAGCTTCTCCAAAGACCAAGAGCAAATGCTGGTCCCAGGGGAGGTCAATACTGAAATGTCAATCTTGTACTCACCCACGACTTCCAGTGTTGTCTTTCCAGGGGCCAGAACTATTTCTCAGGATCAGGAGGGTAGCCTTTTAGGGACCCATGAAAACTCCTGGGATTCCGATGCAAAAGGCCTTGGCTCTCTCTAAAGACCTTATGATCGATCTTTTCTTCTCTTCCACCCGTTAACTGCTAATATTTCCAAAGGTCAGGCCTGGAATTTCTAATCTTCTCTATTTTAAAGTTAATTACTATATATAAGGATAATGACTACAAAAATCTATATTTTCTACTCTAATATTTCATGAGAACCTTAATTCTTATTAAAATGTGAATGTTCACACTTTAATAAACTCTCTCAATCTAAAGCAAACCCATTTCCTGGTGTACAGTATGGCTGGCTCCATATCAATTTTTCCCCTGAAATTGCTGATCATCTACTATCTGTAGTACTGAGTTCATCTCTGGTTCTGACCCATCTTTCTATTTTTAGGCTGGTCTTGCAAAGCTAGAGAACCGTTCATGGTTCCCTTCTTTCCTGTCAGCAGCCACAACCATCCTGCACTTCTTGAGTTTATTCACTGCAGAATCATCTTTGTTACATCTCTCTTCTTTGTTCCCTGTGTATGGTCTAGCCAAGCCAGTGATCCCGCAGTAGTAGGTTTTAGATACACAGGTTTCTCCTCTCTGGCTGCTCTAATCCAAACCTTAATCACCTTACAGTACAACAGCAATAACCTCCTTGCTGGCCTCCCCATTCAGACCTATTCCACTCATAGCAAGATACATTTCTTACTTGGATGTTATTTTGAACACAGCAATAATTTTTAATTCTACTTAACCAAATGGTTTAAGACTTGAAGACACTCTCCTCCTGACTACCATCTAGTGGCTTTGATCTTTCTATGTTCTGGATCCAGGCTCACCACCTATGGTTTCTCTCATCACTTGTATAATCGCAAGTCTCAGGTATTAACTCCAAAGACCACATACTACTAATTATTACATGATACAGTTATTTAAGAACATGGGTTTTTGGGTCAGACTGCCTAAGTTAAAATCCTAGTTCCATTATATATTAGTTGTGAACCTCTCTATGCCTAGTTTCTGCATGTGGAAAGCAAGGACAATAACAATACCATCAAAAGTACCAACTAGCCTCACAGGGTTGTTGCAAAGATTAGATCATCTATGTAAAGTACCAAAGACAATGTCAGGTACATAGAAACACTCAGAAAGTATTAGTTACCACTGCTCTCCTACTAATAACATATTGCTTCCTAAGCAGAGGGCCAGGGTCTGGCATGCTGCAGGTGATCCATAGTTGAATCAAGAACAAATATTCATTCTCACTTCTAAAATTACTGAAACCGTCTAGAGAAAGGCACAGGTTTTAATTTGAGAATTGGACCTACCTTTAAATCTGAGTTGGCTGCAAATTTCTGTCCAATTAAAGCTGCATTTCCTCCTACATAGTGCTGTAAGATAGTTCAAAGCTATTAGTATTTTAACATAATTATATCAAGCTTAATAATTTTTAATTTAAAAAAATTATAGTCCAATTTTTCCCAAAAACATTTTGAGGTGATTTTACAACAAAGGACACACAGATGAGGTCAGTAAGACATAGAAATAGACAATGAATAATAGGGAAAGGTAAAGAAAATGAATATGCTGACCATGAAAATTAGTATGATTGCTTTAACTATAGGTCAAATTTGGCTCTGAGCTTCCAGGCAAGAGATGCAGAAAACATGAAAAGTGCAGACAGATCTTATCTTCTACATTGTAATCCTTCTAAAATGAAGAAAAAAGGTCACTCTCTTCCTGAAAATCACTCAGCAGATACCAAAATGAACTGAAATCTAACTCTCAACTGAGGCGCACACCACCTTTCTTTATCTGACCCACGCTTCCCTTTCTGCCTCCGTCTCCTGCCCTGCCCTCCACACCCTGCCTGAAGCTCTCCAAGTCAGCCCTCCTCTCTTGTCTCTGTGCCTTCGGCATATGCTTTTCCTTTCCTTAAGATGCCCTCCCCTTCTCATATACTATACTAGGTACACCCCTAACCACCTTTCAAGAAACAGCTGCAGTATCACCTCTCCTGCAACGCCTCTCTGTTCCCCTTTCCCCACTGACATCGCAGCCTCCACAACTGCCCTCACCAAACAGGATTACAGCTCCCTCCCTACCTCTATAACCTGAACAAAGCTCTAATACAGCCCTTGTCTGCTTGGGTTTATTATCATCTCGGTACATGACTAGCTCCTTCGGGGCAGGGACTGTCTTCCTTTTGTAAGTGTTCAGTAGATGTTTGATGCTAAATTTTTAGAAAGGAAGAAACACGTGGATGTGTTAGGGAATATACAGGTTTCCTAGGAGTAAATTCTATTATAAAAGTAATGGTCCTTAATATAGGACAATATTTCCCCCTAAACAACACATCTCTGATCTGAGGATCTACAGAGCAGATAATTCGAGGTTGGTATTCCATGATGTTGACTAAGGATGGATCCATGTGCCTTGGAAACCTGACAAATAGGAGACAAGGTTGCTGTTCTAACATGAAAGCTGAGAAGCCTAATCAATAGTCTTGCCTGGGTGGGACATACTGCCTGACCTTCCTAGTCCTTAGCCCATGCAGAGGCATAGTCTAAACAAACAACTCTGGATGCCAGACATCATTCATCCCTCGGTTTGTGCTGACTAACCTCTGAATTTAGGTGGAACCGTAACAGCTTTCTAGAGATAATTTAAAACTTTCTGTGGTATGTAGGCTAAAATTTGGCTTTTTAACATGTTAGCCTTAATTAATGTTTTATGTAACTATGATAGCTAAAAGGATTTACTAAAAAATCTTGGAGGAATATATTAAGATATCTACAAAGTAGATTTCAGAGTTTTCATATAATGGTTATTTCATATAACTGTTATTTATCAGTCAACTTGCCTTATAGTTTAAGGGGTTTTGAAAAGGCACCAAACTGAAGTGCCCCCTAGTAGAGGGTAAGTAACATTTACATTTTAGGTTTTACAACGTTAAGAAATAATTTGGGCCATCAAAAAGCTAAATAAAGTTTTTGTAAAAATTTTTTTCATTATGAACAAAAAGCAGGTCCAAGGCAGAAGAGAACAAAAATCAAATTGGTGGTTTAAAAACCAGGATCACAAATACTTTTGAGCAGCAGACTCATCATCACGTTAGAACTATGAAGATTCTCGCCTAAGAGGTTAGAATCTCACCATGAGCTCGGCTGTCAAAATGATCATAACTGAAATGTTAACAACTTGTCTCCTTTAGAAATCCAGCTGGGTCACGCCTGTGCCCACTTCTAATGTTCAAATAGGCAGCTTCAAAGGATAAAAAACTTTAAAATCTTAAAAGTCATCAAAATAAAAGTGGTCACAAAGGTTTGCCTGTGAAAGATGCCAATTAAAAATGACATGAAGAGCTTCCTTGGCTAGAACTACAGACCCAGACTGGGGAGCCTAGCCAAAGGAAGGTTTTAGGTGAGAAGAATGGGGTGGGCAGGGGGTGGGGGAGATACTTAACCAAACAACAAAAACTCAGCCTCAAGAAGCATGCAAGTACATGCAGCAGCAGGCACGTGAGGTCGGAAGAGCCACGGTTGGGCCTCCAGGCCCAGCATCGCCTAGTACTCTGTGTGAGCCTCCAGGAAGTGCCCGGACCATGCAGGCTGCAGGGCTTTGTTTATGATAATCAGGTGGGCTTGGGGACCACTAAGGTTTTCTCTATCTCTGACAAGTTCTTCCCTAAAGACCAGTGATTTTCAAGATGAGATTCTCAGACTTACAGCATCAACTAGGAAACTTGCTGGAAAGGTAAATTCTTGGGTCCCATCCCACATGTACTGAATCAGAACTGACAGTAGGCCCAGGAATCTGTGTTTCAACAGCTGTCCCCCCCACCACCCCCACAAATGATTCTGATGCATGCTCAAGTCTGGGAGCCACCAATCTAGACCAGCAGTCTTCAACCAGGCATGATTTTGCCCCCTTCTTCCACGTGGGAGAAACACTGGGCAACGTCTGGAGACATTTTTGGCTGTCACAACTCAGGAAGACAATTATATATTGGAAGGTCAGATATAGAGTTTTACAAAAAGAAAATGCAACTGAATTGGATTCCCAATGATCACCATCTTTAGGCAAACTGGAAGAAAAAGTTGCTTGCTTTCTCTAAGAACCATATGAAAAAGACCTCTTTTCCCACCGTCTTAATTTATTATTGGTGAACTGAACAGACCTGGGCTCCTGGGAATTCTGATGCAACCTGGGCAATGTCATGAAAAGTTTCCTTATCACTGAAGAAGCGCTCAGCAGCTGCTCCCTTCCCCATGAAGTGAATGAAGGTTTCTTCCAGATCGTTCCTTGAATGCAGAACGCTGTGATCTTTCCCATTCCCAGGACTCAGGCCAAGTGCCTGCAAGAGCTTCACCCCTGAAAGCACCACATCGACACATGCATTGACTCTGGAAGGAGGAAAGAGACAGTGTGAAAGAAAAAAGCAGAAGCACTGGGCAGCCATTTTGCATTTAACAACAGGCAAATGTTTCCGAGAACTGTATTCAAACAGAAAAACAAGGGGAAGTGAAAATGAAATGTGAACTGAAAAGTGAACAGCATGTGGTGGAAGGAAAATTATATACTTATCTGGATGTATATTAGGATCAGAACACAGGGCTCTTTTCAACAGTTTGGCAAACTTTTACAAAGTGAGGAGACAGGTGCTTAGTATTTCAGAACAAAGCTATCATGACAACAAAAACGTAACATTTCTGAGAAAATGCTGGCAGGGCCAAACTGGATTCATGTTGGCTGTGTGACTTGGGCAAGTCACTTTAATTTCTGTGTGTCTTGGTTTCCTCATCCATACTATGGCAATAATATGAGTAACTCATAGAGCTGCTGTGAAGATTAAATAAGTTAATGTATATTTAGGAACAGTGCTTGGTGCAGGGAAAACAAAATAAAAATTTTGGTCAAAAGCTAAATATCACTTTTCCTCCAAAGACAAATGAGGATGGTGATTAAGATACATTGAATATCTAAATGCCTGAATACTCCCGGCTGAAACCCTGCATCTTAGCGTTGAGGGTGCTATAAAGACTTAGGCACACCTGTGGCCTTGTAACAACTCATCACTTGGCAAGTGTTCACAGGACTGATCCATGAATTTTAAAGGCATGCCTCACCTGCTTGGCTCTACAGAAATTATAAAATACAGGCTGAGTATCTCTCATTCGAAGTGCTTGGGAACAGAAGTGTTTTGGATTTCAAAATAAATATTTGCATATACATAATAAGATATCTTGAGGATGGGACACAAGTCTAAACACAAAATGCACTTGTGTTGCATATATACCTTATACACATGGCCTGAAAGTAATTTTATATTAATACAATATTTTAAGTAATTTTGTGAATGAAACAAAGTTTATGTTAACTACTTAGGGAATTTTCCACTTGCGGCATCATGTCAGTGCTCAAAGGTTTGGATTTCAAAGCGTTCTGGATTTCAGATTAGAGATGCTCACTCTGTACTAAGGCTCTCTGGCACGGCCTAACTCACATGTCCTCTCCTATGTGTGTACGGAGAAGTTCCGGCTTATATTTTCAGTGTTTCTCACTAAAAGTCATTTCTTTTTTAAAGAGAAGAGCCAGATAATCAGGGTAGCTAGGTAAGGTCTTTGTGCCCCTCCCCCTGTCATGGTCACCTTTATTTCTTGCC